ATGTCATGGCAGCATTGCTACGCTCAAGCTCCCTTTCCTTGGTCGCCCATGTAGTTGCAGTGGTGCCTTCGAGGAGGCTCGCGGCGTATATGACTCGTACCTCATGAGTATTAAACTGGCTCAGGTTAAGGCGGAATTTCCGTTCAAGGGCTCTCGTGAAGCTGTGGAATTCAGACAGCGTCTTGCCCTTGTAATTCGGCGGATCTCCAACCTTGATCCCTTTATCTCCATGGTAGACATAGGAGTGTAGGGGCCGCGGCGGTGGCAGGGCGGCTGGAGGGCCCATGCCAAGGTGAGCGGCGGGTTCAGGAATCTCAGATTCCTGCCGGGGTAGAGGTGTACGCGCTCTAGGGGACGACGTGGAGGCTCCCCCAGAGGGTGCAGTCCCAGCACGGGTGCGTGGGGCCATATCGATCAATAGAGCTCGACTGATTCAAACGTGTAACCAGGTCGAGCGATTCGAATTGTAATGTGACGGCGCCGAGGCGATTGCTACTCGGCAGCGGCACAGAGGAGGATGGTATATAATGGGAAGCCTTATGGGTGGGCTTGATTATCTCGCTTGAACCGCGAACTCGTAGAATACTATACAAATACTGAACTACCAGAGGTACTCGGCACACTATGAATATTGTATGAGGACAGTGGTAACTCTGGTATCTTATTGTCAAAAGATAAAAGACGAATCGCTGGCTCCTGGAATAGAGAGCCAGCATCTAGCTATTCTATATAGACAACGGGCAGCCATCCTCCCCTCACTCTATAAGCGAGGGTAGCCGAAGCAACTCCGCAGTGGCGCTGCATTGATCTGCCAGAAGGAATCCAGACCCCGTATAGAAACAGGATTCTCATATCTCATCAATCGGATCCTCTTCTATTGCATCCGAATGATGTCATAGGGTGGTTGGAAACCGGTTCGGACACCTGCGTGATGTCATGGGATAGATGGGATTATCCGAGGGGAAACGATGGGCCGTGTGGAGCCGTCACGGGGCCTTGGCACAACCAAGGGTGTGACAATAACTTTAAATAAAGCATTTGTTGAATAGCTTTTAATGATACTCATATTCAACTTCTGAGTAGTGAGATTGCTAGTTGAATAGATAATGTTGAATATAAACATACAACAATTAAAAATCTCTCAAAAAAATGATAAAAAAAATTAATGAATAAAAAAAAGAAAAAGAAATGAAAAAATAAATTTATTTTTATTTCTAATTTTTTTATACAGATATTTTAGATGTTAATAATTATATTCTCTCTCTCAACTTCTTTTTCATCTAATATTATATCTTCAAATAAGATAATCAACGTGATGGTGATGAAAGATATGATGAAGAAATAGAAGATATAAGAGAATTGAATTTAAATTTATTATTAAATTTAAATTTATCATTGAATTCAAATCTATTATTGAATTCAAATTCGCTATTGAATTCAAATCTGTTATCAAATTTAAATCTATTGTTGAATTTGAATTTGTTATTAAATTCAAATCTATTGTTGAATTTGAATTTGTTATTAAATTCAAATCTACTGTTGAATTTGAATCTGCTTTCTATTCAAAGTAATTCAATTCTTTAATTTGATGAATATATAAATCTATTTATTGATGAGTTTTTCAATTGATTGATAATAAAGAGATTTCAAGAGCAGAAGCTTTTTTAATTGTAAAAAATATTATTCAGAATGAAGAATTTGAACTGAATCATATACAAACAATGATAAATAAGCAGATGATTTAATTGAATATTGAAATGAATATATTTTCAATAATAAAAGATGAATTAAAGAATTCTATCTGATAATCACAATTGAAGAAGATTAAATTATTTTTATTTATTATTTGTTATGATGACAGCAAATCTCATACTGCTTTTGTTTCTAAATTTGAAATTTAGATATTATATATCATCATAATTGAATTGCAATCTGAATCTTTCTAAATTTTATAATACTATTTTATATGAGCAGATTTGAAATTATTATTATTATTATTCTTCCGTTATACTCGTATGCAAGCAGTGCTTATGACGAGTCCTTGTGTAATGTTAAATACAGGCAAGAGTTGATTATACAGGAGGAATGCTTAGTGTTGAATGACGCCAAGAATATAACAGGAATATAGGAAAATTAATGAAAGACTTTGATACTCGCGATACAGGTTTCCAGCCCAGAAACAATAAGCTAAATCAGGTAGTAGGTCCGCCCGAAGGTATCTACTTGGCAAGTTCACATCCCTTTATTTTAGGAGCTGAGGAGTTGGCTCTGGATGTAATGTTGTCCCCTTGTGAGTTTCGAACCCACGCGCCTTGGGTCCCCACTACCCATTCGGCCACCGGGGCGCAGATTTGAAATGTTTTTTTACATCTTTGTGAGAGATGAAGTTTTCAACTGTGTGATATAAGAACATTTCAAAATCTTCATTAAATTAATTTTCTAATTAATATTTGTATTTTTAATTCATTTTTTTAACACATGAAATGACTTTTTCTATAGAATTATAATTAAGAAAATATAAAGATAAAAATAAAAGTTCAATATCAGCTTCTATGTAAAAATCTCACAATGTTTATAAACAATGAAAAGAGCAATTATTCATCATTAAATAATGATAATTTCATTAATGTTTGAATAATATTTAAATACATACAAACTCATTAAACCTTTTTTGTA